TAGCTTGATTTCTCTTTCCTGATTTTAAAGCTCTTTTATGTAGTGTCTTCAGTTTTAGGTTCTTACCATCAATTTTTTGTGGGTAACCAAGATCAGGGGCTTTATTTCTTGCTAGGACATATTCCATCACAGCCTCGCCTATCTAAGTTTGTCTCAGAAATTTTGTTTTCTGAGCTTTCACTAAAATGGCACATTAAACACTGCCACAAATACTGGGGCTTGCTCCCAAAGGCAGGCTCCAATTTCTTTACCCCAAGTCCCAGGACCAGTTTCCAAAACTAGATTAACCAATTACCATAACCATAGATCCCTAAGTCCTCACCTGGGTGGTCCTCTCACCACCAAATTCTCAGCCTCTGTATCAGGCAGACAGACTAGTTCAGTCAGTACTCTGACCAATCTGATTACCCAGCAAGAACCTGAGATACCCACAAATTTGTCCTCCATACCCAAACAAAAAGTACCTAAGCCACACAAACAATATTAACAGAAACAAAATTAAATTGAACAAAATCAGAGTAGAAGTTTCTATTGAACACATAACCGGCAAAGAATATCCATATGCCCAGATGGCAATGAAAAACCACAAACAATATGAAAAAATTAGGAAAATATGTTCTCAACAAAATCCACAAGTCCTGCAGAAGTGCACAATATTGAGAATCACCCTGTAGAACCCCTTGACACAGAATTTGAAAGAACAATCATAAACATGATCAAAGACTTACAAGAAAACACAAACAACTCAAAGAACTCAAAGAGGAAAGGTATAAACTTTAGATGGATGCACAATAATGTATAAATATGTAGCTTAATGAAATATCAGAAACAATTCATAATTCACAAAGAAAAATCACTAAAATGATAGAAATAGTGAAGAACACCCAAATGGAAATGAACACTGGACTGAAAGACTCAATAAACCAAGTAGAAACAACAGGAAAAATTCCCACGAGCAGAGTGAATGAAATGTAAAAAGAATATTGAGACTAGAGGATAAAGTTGAAGACCTGGCCTCCTTAAGCAAAGACTATGGAAAATTCAAAAAAGTACAGGACTGGAAGACTCAGGAAATGTGGATCAAGGGGAAACAAACAAATCTATGTATTAGAGGCATTCAGGAAAGAGAAGAAAATCAAACCAATGGCATCGAACTGATGTTTAATTGGATTATAGAAGAAACCTTTCCTAAATTAAGGAAACATATACCTACAGAGATTCAAGAAGCACAGAGAACACCATTGAGACATGATCACAACAGAAATTCTCCATGACATATCATAGTAAAAAAATTAAATGTACAGAGCAAAGAGAGGGTACTGAAAGCTACTAGAGAAAAACAACAATTTACATATAAAGGAAAACCCATCAGAATTACAGCTGACTTCTCAATGTAAACTATGAAAGCCAGAAGAGCCTGGAACAACGTATTTCCAGTTCTAAACAACCATGAATGCCAACCCCGAATACTTTATCCAGAAAAACTGTCAAGGTCAAAGGGGAATAAAATTTTTCCATGACACAAATAGACTGAAAGAATTCATGTCTTCCAAACCAACACTACAGAGAATATTTGAAGCAATTCAAAGAACCAAACAAAGGAATGCTGAAGAGGCTACAGAAAGAAAATAAAGATATAACAATGGAAACACAAAATAGGTCCACAAACACAAAGAAATTATGGCAATGAACTCCTTTCAATAATAACAGTAAATATCAATGGCCTCAACCCCTCCCCCATCAAAAAACAAAGGCTAGTGCAATGGATCAATAAAGAACACCCATCTTCTTGTTGTCTTCAAGTAACTCATCCCACCTTCAAGGATACACATTATCTTAGGATGAAAAGATGGAAAAAAAGTATTCCAAACAAATGGCCCTAAGAAGCAAGCACGGGTTGCAATTTTAATATCTGACAAAATATACTTCAAATTAAAACTCATCAGAAGAGATAAGGAGGGTTACTTCATTCTAATCAAAGGAACAATTGATCTAGAAGATATTACAATCATGAATATTTATGCACCAAACTGGATCAAAATCCAGAATATACAAAGAACTTAAAAAGGAAAAGAAATAAGAAGACAAACGACCCAATAAAAAGATGGGAGACAGACCTAAGCAGAGACTTTTCAAGGGAAGAAATAAAAATGGTTAAGAAGCCCCTTAAAAAGTGCTCAACATGCTCAGTAATTAGAGAAAAGCAAATCATGCAGGAAGGTGCAAGCTTATATAGGGGTAGTGGTCCAGTCACAGCACAGCAAGTAGTATACCTTATTAGCATAACAGGTTTAGCGTCTTGTCACAGTACAGCAAATAGGATACCTTATTAGCATAACAGACTTAACGTCCTATCACAGAATAGCAGGTAGGATGCCTCATTAGCATAATGGGATTCAGATTACAGAGCCTGGATTCCTGGAAACAACATGACCCTGACTGTTGCAATATCTAAGTGTTGCAGTTTGGAATTCCAAGGGTGGTGATTAGGGAGTGGTGAGCTCTAGGCATCAGTCTCATGATCTGCCAATGGGAGCAAATGTCACAAGGTGTTTCTTGTGACTCCAGAGTTCAGGCCATTGCCTCGGGCCTGCTGTATGGCTGTCAGTAAGACTAGGCTCAAGCCTGTCTCCCACAAAATCAAAACTACTTTAAGAGTTTATCTTACCCCAATCAGGTTGGCTAAGATTAAGAGAACAAAGACTCCAAATCCTGGAGAGGATGTTGAGAAAGAGGAACACTCATTTCCTGCTGGTGAGAACACAAGACTTGTGCAACCACTATGGAAAGCAGTGTGGAGAACACTCATAAAACTAAAAATTAACCTACCATATGACCCAGTGATACCACTTCTTGACATGTACCCAAAGGACTCATGATACTGTAGAGATACCTATACATTCATGTTTGTTACTGCTCTCTTCATAATAGCTAAGAAATGGAAACAACCTAAATGTCCCTCAACTGATGAATGGTTAACAAAAATGTGGTACATCTACTCAATAGTGTTCTACTTAGCAGCAAGAAAAGATGAAATTTGAAGGTAAATGGATGAAGCTAGAGAGTGCTATACTAAGTGAAGTAACATAAATGCAGAAAAGCAAGCAAGATATGCTTTCTTTCAGTTGTGGATTGTAGCACCAACCACTTACATGTGAGTATACAAATTCTATGTAACACCAGGAGGCAGGTAAAGGCAAAGGACACACGGAGGTAAAGGAAAAGAAACAACCTGAAAGGGGAGTGGTAGGGAACAGATGTTACCTGAGGGAGGTGGAGAAATTGGGAGTAATCCTCAGGGAGGAGAGGAGATAGGGACATGCAAGGGACCATAGCGTGGGGGAGTGAGGACAGTCAGAAAAGGAATGATGGTGGGGAGTCAGGTGGTATGAGGGGAGAATGGAGATAATGGGGGCACTGAGACCAGGAGGGGAGGGAGGCCAGATGGAAAAAAAAATGGTAGAGAAGGAAACCTAGATAGAAAACTGATGCCCTAGAATCCCTATGAGAAATTCACATAGAGTGTCTGACTATTAATGCATATGTATACCTAGGAGCTGCTTGGTAGGGAACACAGTGCCAGATAGAAGAGACCTCCTTTAAAGTGACAAACATGCCATACAGCACTCATCAAAGAAACTTCTTTTTGCAAAAGATGGAGGCTTCTGCAGAGTTTCACAACTGGTCAGGCACAGAGGACATACACCTGGGAGATACCCAGTATTTTTGCATTTTCTATGTGCAAATGAGAGTGTGCGAAATCAGACATACAAAGTGACATAAAATGAATAGCAATTTCAATGCTCTTTATTGATAAATATTTCAATGTTTTTATTTTCCATTGAATATTAAATTCAAGAAAATGAAGATCACAAAGATTAAAAAGTTTTGTTCTTTTGAAAATGACTTTAACTCTGGTTATGTGATTTCTATTTTCTCTGTAAAAGGTGAAAAATACAATCTCTATATCAGCATGTTAAAACTAGTGATAGCAATAATGTGTTGTTAAAACCCAGCCTTAGATGGGTTTTATAGGAATAGCAAATGCCTATGGATATTTGCCTGTGGAAAATGTTCATAGATAGAATAGAAACTATTTAGTCACATGAACAAATAGAGTCTCGTTTGTAAGCAGGCTAAGTAAGCATATATTACCCATCAGAATTTTCAGGAAGTTTCTCAATTTGTATATCAGATATTGGTGGACCACCTTCAAATTGAAGAAAAATGTTGTAGGAACAACAATGTTTCAGGTTGTGCTAATGGTCTTCTCTCTGCTACTCTGGGTTCTGATGTCTCACAGTGTCAGTTGGAAACATATTTACTTGGTATGGTTTCAGGACACTTCTCTTCCTAATAGGAAATACATGTTTATTTTCTCAACCAAATAATGTGTTTGACAAAGCATTGACTGAATAGTAGTCAACACTTAAGTATCTTTAAATGGGCCATTAGATTCATGAGTCCATTTAATTTGATAATTTTAATATTCATATGACAATACTGAGAAGACTATACAAAGTGAAGGTTCAATTTAAACATAGGATATTCTACTCTAAATATCAACATATTATAAGATGATAACATCTCTATATATATAATTAATAAATCACATGGCTAAATAAATACTGAGTTTCATTCTTCATGTTTTCTTAATTCTTGTGCTTTTTGTGGGTTTTTTAGTGTGTATAAGTGTGTGTTGTGTGCCTGTGTGTATCTGTGAATATGGGGGGAATTTTAGAGTACCCATACACTTGCATGCACAGCCAAGAGGAGGGCATTGAGTATCCTCATTTATTTTGCTATGTCATATTTCCATGGGAAATGGTCTATGATCAAATATTGAACTTGCTGTTCTGCTGATATAATAGCTGTTCATGAAGTCGGAATCCCCATGACTCTTCAGGGCTTTGGATGTGGGACACAAATGAAGGTCCTCTTGTTACAAAGCGAGCACACTTACAAACTAATATATCCACCCCTCTCTGTAACGAAATATTTTAATATTGATCAAATACTCTCAACCTTCTCCACATTTTCCTGATAGAATTTTTCATTTCTTTATTCCGGAAAGTATAAACCATAGGATTGAGCAATGGTGTCAATATGTCATCAAATACAAACACATCTTTCTCAAAAGATAATGGAGATGTAGGTCGGGCATATATTAATAAACATGGGACAAAAAACAAAAGCATCACAGTAATGTGCGATCCACAGGTAGACAGAGCTTTAAGTCTTCCTTCAGAGCTGTGTGCTCTCAAAGTGTACAAGATGACACCATAGGAGACAAGCAACAAGGAGAAGATAATGATGCAGATAGACCCACTGTTGGCAAACACCACAATGACAAAAATTTGTGTGTCAGTGCAGGCAAGCTTCAATAATGGGAACAAGTCACATACAAAATGATCAATGATACTGGGTCCACAGAACGGCAGCTGCAAAATAAAAATAATTTGTATGATGGCATGCAAAAAGCCCCCTGCCCAGGCCACTCCCACCAGAGTGCCACAGAGCCTCCTGTTCATGATGGAAGAGTAGTGCAAGGGCTTGCAAATGGCCACGTATCGATCATAGGCCATGGCTGCCAGGACAATTACTTCTGCTCCAGGGAAGAAGTGGAGAGCAAACAGTTGTGTCATGCAACATTCAAAGGATATGGTCTTCCTCTCATAGAAGTAGTCTATAATCATCTTGGGTGTGACAGCAGAAGTAGTGCATGCATCCAATAAAGACAAAAATACAAAGAAGAAGTACATGGGAGAGCTCAGCAGTGCAGGACTATAGACAATGGTCACCACAATCATCATGTTGCCCCAAAGAGTTGCCAGGTAGATGAACAAAAATACAACAAATAGTATCTTCTCAACGTTTGGGTTCTGAGAAAGCCCCAGAAGTACGAACTCTTTGACGAAGCTCTGATTTTGCATGATTCTGAAGAAGGTGAATTAACACGTTTTGTTGTTTTTCTGTTATTTTGAGAAAAACTACTTTGTATAGTTTATAATATTATGATCTACAAGGTGATGTGTCATTTTACAAAACTATCTCTGTTGCCTTTGTGACTGTTATGAACAGAATTTTAGAATTTTTTGAACAGTGTTGTTGGAACTATTATTTATGTGACAGGGTCAAGATGGAGGTAGATGATTGAATATGTTAAAATACCACAGTTACATATTGGAACATGAAAGCATCTATCTATGGCAATATAGAGAAACAGCTTATTTTTTAAAGTTCATATTTAATTTTCTTTAGGTAGTGCATGAGGGGAAATATTGAAAGACATTTTAGAACCGTGTACTACTTACAAACAAAACACCATAGTAAGTAAGTAGGGAATGATATGGGGCCAATAATTTCCTTAGTGATTGATGTGAGCTCATCTTAACCTACCAATAAGGTAAAGAAGAAATATGCACTTAAAATTTGGTTCAATGAAGGACTGGAACTTCAAATACATTAATTTAGTCTTAAGAGAAATCTCTGTGAGAAAATGTTTATTGCTGCACATGATGCAGCTCTTAGAAGTATTGCAATTTCAATTTAAGTTCATTATATAAAACTTGGCCAGAATTTTATAAAAATCATGATTTGCCAAGGTAACTAAACAAAATAGTACAGAAAAAAGGAAATTCTCAGGCCTCAGTGTCCTATTTAATAGTATATGGCAAGCATTATTCTTACCAGTCCATCTGTGCAAAAGTTATAATTAAATAAGAGAATTTCACACAGAAAGCAAAGATATTTGATCTGGAATTTTATGAGACTGATTCAGTAGCTGTAACCTCTTCACAGGTTCAGCAGAGTAAAGAATAAGGATATTCTTGTCAGTGAGAACTTCTGATTAGGGGTTGTCTTTCTACTGTCTACTGTACATAAAGCTTAATGTATATTAACCCTTTGCTTGTGTGAATAAGGCATCTCATAAAGGCAACATACTATGATGTAGAATCAGAATGTACTAGACCAATTACCCATGTATGAGAAATTTGAAAACCACATAGCTGAAGTGTAGAAACAACTGGATAACTACAATTTATCACTGAAACATATTATTTTCCAGTTATTTATTCAGTACAACTTCTTGAGCATTCATCCAGAAACCATATGGTTACAGTTTATATAAATTTACTATAAAATATGTTCCTATACAACTTATCTGCTTATCTTGAATACTAAGGTAGAGGGTCAGATTTGTTAATGTCAGAATATTACTCATGGAAACATGCCATTAGATTGGTATGTGAATTCTTCACATTAAAACCCTTTTGTCTTGACCACAAAAGCTCTTTCCTCTAGTATCTTTAATGTAAATATTCTAGCTATTGAATTAATCTTCCCGAGGCAATCAGAGTGTCAAAAATGTTTCTATCCTCTCTTTCACACACAATTGCTATATCTCAGTAAAGCAGAAATCTTGGGTGAATATTTCTATGAATATACTTATATGTATTTGTATATTTGGTGTTACAAATCTGTGGGTAAAAGAATAATATGTCTGGATTGACAAAAAAAGAAAGTGATATTGATGACTTTGATGAAAGGTAGTAGACACAATTTTACAGATTCATAAATCTCCTTTTAAGTTGCTTACATTTACTGTAAAGCTTCCATGTTCTCAGTTCAATTCCTCAATAGTGTCTGTAACGTGAGCTCTGGACCTACTCATCTGTAGTGAAGGTAAGAACAGGATAAATGACACCTTGAAAAATCATTAGATCAGAAAATAATTAATAAGACATACTGGTAAATAAATAAAATTCCAAAGCAGTTCACATCCTCTGTACTAGTAAACTCACTCTTAAATTTTTATTCTAAATGTGGGATTAGAAATTTTATATTAGAATGTGCTATAGTATCAAAGATTAAACATAAAAATGTCTAAAACATTCAAAATGGATATGATCTACAAATACAATTATTATAATTATCATATGATATGTGATTTTAATCATTAATAATATGAAATTTGCAACAAAGGTAATTTTAATAGCTTTAATTTTAATAGCTTGTAATGTGAGAAAATCAGAAGAAAATAAAATGTTTATTTACTGATTTTAAGTATATTTTATAATATAGAAGGGAACTTATAAATAGTAGAGTTTATTTGTAATATGACTATTGTCAACATTGTTAAAATACATAAAATTTAAAAAAAATTAAAGCCTACAATGTCAATTTTTGTTAAATAGGATAAGTTTTTCAGATCACTCATTAGATTAGTAAAAGTGGCACTAACGTTAACATAGTAAAGAATGTAACATTAACAATTTTAAACAGTCATAATGTTTCCAGAAATGACCTTACACCTGACACAACCTTCTCGCACCTCATATTTTTTTATTTTAAATTCATATTGCCATTCAGGGACATATTTATTTTGTCCCTATTACTCTTGAAACGTACAATGACCTGTTTTTTTTTTTTTTTTTCCTTAAAGCAATGCACTTGAATATTTTAGAGCTGTGCCTGAGCTTCTTAGAGGTTCCTCATAGCAGGAACTATAGTCCACAAGCCATTTCCTACAGAGGTAGGTAGCCATGGGAAGTTCTCTCCCTGTATCCCACTGTCCACATTGCCCACTGTTTCTTTTGTACTTACAGCTAATGTAGCCCGATATATCCGCACATACAGAATTTCTTTGTTAATTGTGAAATGTCTGTAACATTCAATATTGTCAGACAGATGAATGAATGATTGTCAAAGTAATAAAAAAAGAAATGTCATTATTACCAATGATAATAAAACCTTCTTTGAAATCATCCTTTATATTAAATTCTAAAGTCAATAATACTTCTGATCTAAGATTGTAACTACCAACAAATGATATACTTGCTTCTGTAGCTAAGCGAATTTCTTTCCAAGACTTTCTGGGAAATACATTATCTTCAGATTCCCAAGCCTTTGTTTCTCCTGTGTTGCTTTGCTGATTCCCCTAAATGTCACAACTTGTCTTTATATTTCTGAAACATAAGGGAAAAGACTTTTTTCTTTTTCCTCTCATCTGACTCCTAAGGAATTTCTGCATCTTCTCCTTTGATGTCTTTATTCAGTTCATTTTATTAGCAAGAGCAAGGCATAACTACTAGCATGAACACGGTTTAGAGTTTCAAACACTTATTTCTGGAAAGTTCTAAGGCAGAAACTTAATCTTAGGGGAAATTAGGTAGACATGGTTAAATCACAGGCTCCACTCTGTGGCTTTGGACCCCCTAGCCTAACATAATTGTGTTTCCATGTTTTAGTGTGTAATTGTGGAAGTGGAACATTTTGTCTTTGTTATCAGTATTATAGACTTTAACAGCATTTCAATATACCATGAACTTTTATGAGCATTCTTCACACAACCTCTAAGTTCACTGACTTTAAATCTAAACATCAGAATGATGAGCACATACAAATGAGTGTGTTTTCAGCAAGAACAAGAAGTCTTATTGGAGAAAAAAAATAGAAAAAATAAACACTTGTATCATTTATAGACTGAGATAAAAAGTTGGAAAATATGCTTGGTTTCATTAATTTGAAGAACTACATGTTCAGAAGGAAAGGAGTGATGAGGCAAGGAAGGAAAGAAGGAAGAAAAAAGGAAACAACTTAGGGAAAGAGGAGAGAAGGAAGGAAATTTCACTTTAACAACTACTATTTTATGGGCATATGAGCATTTACTATTTTTAAGTGCTGTTTTCCTGACTCCTGGTGGTTTATTTTATTCAGGTTTGTTTTCCCCAACTTTAACATAAATTCCCCAATAACGATAAGGAATACAAATACCATGTTTACATAACTCTTTCAAGAACACAGTTATGAAATTAAGAATCAATGTTTGTATTGAGCAGAGTAGTCTATTCACAGCACCAAAACTTTAACATGCTTTATCACAAATTAAAATCATGTCTGAAAAGTAAAACTTACATCTTATGAGTCTCACCATGTGTCAGTTGTGTGAAAAATCTGAAGATAGCATCTCTTATTCTTACTTGGTTAAATACCTTTAGATAGTGACCAAAATGTTTCTGGCAAAGCCTTCCTCCCACATCTTAGAGACAAGAGCACATCTGGTAGAAAGGATAGAGAATGTTTTCAACAGTTCTCTGGTGCTGACTTCAACAAGCTTTAAAGATAAAAAAGAAAAGTGACGTGTCTTAAATTCTTAACTATAGCTAGAAGAGAGACCCCTGAGAATTATTCTTAGCCCCCTCAGGGTTTGGAAAAATTCTGGCCCCAGGAGTGATTGAGATGTAATTTGGTCTACACCTTCACTTGCTTGAGCATCTATAATACTACTTACATGAAAAGTAATTTTCTCAAAAATTTTGGGGAATGTCTACTTACAGTATTTTTCTATTCCAACATGCTCAAGAATAGAACACAGTTGTGTAATGGATAGAGTGCAGTGTGACTGTTCAAAATAAAAATAATCACATAATCAGAAAAATAAGAGAAATATTCTGTTACAAGGAATTGATCATTTAATTTGTTAGGAAAATATGCAATGCACTTGTAAAAGAGTAATAATAATTGTTCATTAGAGAAAAATGATTTATGAACAAAAATATGAGGAAACATGAATTAAGGGAAATGTAATTCATATCATCTAGTAGTATTTTCTTATTTTTTCACATCTTACAATTTCATATGTGCATATAAGGAATTATGATCCTATTGACAGTACACCTAACCTCCCTTAACCACCTTCTCAATCTTACTGAACTTCTTTTCCAAAAAAGTTCTCATTATATTTGCATCTACTTTTGTTCTTAACACATAAACTTTATGGTTGCTTGGAAGACCATGGACAAGGCATCACTTGCTGGATCATGGGCAAATTCCTTGTGCCTCCATAACCCAGAAAAATGATACCCCTTGCCAGCAATCTTTAACTGTGACTAACCTTTTGGTGAAAGGCAGGGACTCAACAGCCTCTCCT